TATGCATATACTTGTACAAAGATTACTATATTCCAGAGTCCACATACACTTGTACAAACATTCCCTTATTCCTAAGTCCACATGCACTTATACAAACATTTCCTTATTCTATCCGCACAGACCACTATGTGAAGAAAGAGAGACCCACACAAATATACGACATCATTGAGACGTTGCTGCCGCGTGCGCGTTGCGACTGCGAACCGCCAGAACACAGTGGCAAACTACTCGAATTGTAAGCAAGCCCCTCCTGTGCGGTGGTGCATTAAGTATATGCGTAGAAACGTATTCGTTATTCGTAACTTGCTGGGCACCTGATTGGTGGAACTTGCACGTATGCGTTCATACACGAAAGTGGGTGTCACTGGGCTGGTTGTACAGGCATGAAATGCCTTATACCAAGCGAGACAAACATCAGAAGAACAAGCGGTGACCAAACTCTATAGCGTCGATCACTGTGCGATGTTTTCTTCGGTGTGTGTGGGAGGGCTGTCGCTGCCCGGCGCAGCCAATCTTCACTATTCTATAGTGTGTGCCTGTGTGTTGCATGTTTTAGTATGTCGTGTGTGCCTGTGTGTTGCATGTTTTCAGTATGTAGTGTGTGCCTGTGTGTTGCATGTTTTCAGTATGTCGTGTGTGACTGTGTGTTGCATGTTTTCAGTATGCCGTGTTAGTCTGCGTGTTGTATGTTTTTAGTATGTCGTGTGTGACTGTGTGTTGCATGTTTTCAGTATGTCGTGTGTGTCTGTGTGATGCATATTTTCAGTATGTCGTGTGCGACTGTGTGTTGCATGTTTTCAGTATCTCGTGTGTGCCTGTGTGTTGCATGTTTTCAATATGTTGTGTGTGACTGCGTGTTGCATGTTTTCAGTATGTCGTGTGTGACTGTGTGTTGCATGTTTTCAGTATGTCGTTTGTGACTGTGTGTTGCATATCTTCAATATGTAGTGTGTGACTGTGTGTTGCATGTTTACAGTATGTCGTGTGTGACTGTGTTGCATGTTTTCAGTAAGTCGTGTGTGACTGTGTGTTGCATGTCTTCAGTATGTAGTGTGTGACTGTGTGTTGCATGTTTTCAGTATGTCGTGTGTGACTTTGTTGCATATTTTCAGTAAGTCGTGTGTGACTGTGTGTTGCATGTCTTCTGTATGTCTTGTGTGACTGTGTGTTGCATGTCTTCGGTATGCAGTGTGTGTTCCTGTTGTTTCCACGTACTGTATTAGTGCATGCTGTATGGATCGTGCAGCAGTTATCGCGTTTTGAGGGCCAGCCATTATGTAGTGTATGTCCCTGCGGGGTTTGTGCACGACATTATCATATACCGGGAATATATGTGATACGAATTAATGTTTTTATAGTTCTCGGATATGATACGAATCAATGTTTTTATAGTTCGGTATTTAAAGATTTTTTCTTTTCTTTTCTCCGAGGATATAACATGAATGGTGTGGTAGATTCGTTTCAACCGGGTTTAAACACAGTCTTTACGGCGTTTACATGGGCATCGACTTCAGTGAAGTGTACGACATCACACACTGCATTGACACGCACTACTATTAATTCCTTGTGTCCTGTGTCGGTTGTACCGCACTTCTGCTTTGCGCATCTCATTATTTTTGTACCAGATCGTAGCTCGATTCATATATGGCAGGTAGGCAAGTAGTTGAAATTCGCGCTTCAGACTGGTGACCCACAGTACGAAGGGTTTGTTCTGAATCTTCAATTGAGATATGCGCTCCTTGATAAGCTCTGCATTCCTAGTCACCATTGGCATTCTTGATGAGATCTTTGCATTCCTAATCCAGATCTGCCATTCTCATCCAAATTCACATTCTTAAACAAGATCTGCGTTTTTATTCATTCATTGCTCCATACTTTCAATGCAGATGGGGACCGCGCACGCCGAGGGCGGGATGGACAATTGTCACAGACACCTCACAAGACGTACGATGAGCCTCTCTCCCTGATGTTAGTTAAATATGTAGACTCAGGCTGGTGTATATAGACACCAACGGTTTTACTTTATTGGTAGGTATCAGCCAAGGACATACCGTTTCGAACCGAGACTCAAAATTAAACGGAACCTTACCGGTTCAGATATAAAATGCCGGCAACCACTCTATCGCACTACTGGTATCAATGAAGGACTATCTCTTTTATATCGACGTAGTGAGCGACTACCGTACTACTGGAATCAGCACGGGACACTGCATTGGGACTTAACGGAATATGCATGCCTATCTGGTGCGCACTTGTATAAAGTCGGCAACTACTGTGTGAATACCTAGGATCAACGAAGAGCACTACATAAGATTTTATAGAAACGCCATACCTATCTAGTTTAGACGCAGAAAAACAACAGCTGTTGTATTGTATCACTGGATTAATCAATATCAACCAACACTGACAGTGAAGTTATAAGTATCTGGTTCAGGTATAAGATCAGATTGCCACTGTTTTACTGCTGCACATGATACAGGACACTGTATTACGCACACAAGTGTTGACTTACATATACGTATAGATATAAAACAATACTCGTACGGATAACGTATAGCGGTGCTAGCCAAAGGTTGTATTCGTGCAAAAAAACGCTATACGATTGTGTAAGCGATTGAAGTTGTGTGCCATCATAGTGCACAGATGCCTCCTTGAACGATGCCTCGGGCCCTTTGTCAGAGTCAATTATGCTCAGAAAACGAATGTGATCCTCTGGTCCGCCCAAGAATGAGCCCACGAGTGCTTCATCGCTCTCTGTGCCGTCGACGTCTTCCCATGAACGCGAGCCCCACAGACGACACCCGTCCTGTTGGAGGTCAAGAGCGCTAGTCGAATTGTAGAGCATCTCAGATTTACCAGTTTTATAAAAGTATCTATGCACTTTGTGCGGCTTGGCCACCCATCTACCGGATATGTCCGGATGGGATGCGGACGAATCGGCTTCGACTGGCGCTGCAGCTACACACATATCGGAGGGTCCGAGTGCAGCTAGTGCCACGGAGATGATTGAAGCGATGCGCATAGTGTTTGTGTATTAAGAAATCGATGGTACGCAAGCTTTCATGTGTGAGTCAGTTTATATACTACTTTATTTATTCAGTTTCAAGCAAGTTCTATTTGGAAGTTGGACAAGTGTCCAAACGAGGTACATTCGTGTGCGCCACTAATAATCGATTTACCAGATTGGTCAAGATAAATATTTGGGCTTTGGGGTTGTTGGAAAAGAAAGTATCAATCTGTGTACATCTGCATTGCAAATTTGCTATTACACTATTAAAGTCTTTGTAAAATTGTATTATATACATAGCATCAATTATATCATGTATATGTACATCTGTAAAGTTGTACACGCTGATCGAATGATCGAATGATCCAGTGATCTCTGTACACAGATTCGGAATTTATTGTTTGGTGATTGTTCGCTGATGTGATATGATTAGCCAATAGAAACACACAACTATTTTTAGAGACATATTTCATTCAGATTCCTGTCTCCTGAATGGCTGAATACAGAATACTCAACTCCTAAGAATTCAGATCCCGATCTCAATGGAATTACAAAATACAATATGTACATAGCATCCACCCCAAGAATGTTTTAGTGATATGTGTTGCGTGATTACTGAAAACTCAACTTGAAACCATGTAATACCTGATACCCGTCACAGAGACAGACTGGCAGAAGCTACAGGCTACAGACTGGTCATTTTTATATTCTGGAAGCGGCGTTTTAAAATAAAATAAAACATTCTATTCACGTGTCAGACATCACCATTCCTTTTTCTCCGGACTCTCGAGTTTCGACGCAACAACCCTTTCCTTGTAGTAGCAAAAATCATTTTGCACGGAGTGACTACGCATCTTTTTGAACAGATAAAAGCATCACAATTGGATTGGAATGAAATTTCTTAGCGTGGCGGTGACAGCGCGAAGGATGCCGTTGTTGGAATGAGTGACCACCTATCACAGAAATAAAAGCGTTTGATTTTAAAAGATTTCTTACCGCGCGACTAGCCGATCGATTAATTGTTTATACTTCGGGCAGGACTAGCAGATGAATCATTTTAATCAAGGCTAGATTGGTCAGTGCTTCTACAAAAATTGGCAATTCAGTATCTGAAGTCCTTCGGACGATAGTTCAATCCCCCATATTTTTGTTCTATTTCTGTTTTTCTTCAAGAGAGGGTAATGATCTGAAGGTAGCAACCAGACTCCGTTGCTGAAGTGGCTAACAAAGAAAATTGCTGTAAATTGGTGACAACAACGATCGACCTCCATGGGCCTGCGATTGGAAACTAGCAATCCGTAAAGCCATTCGGTTTATAGTCCGCGAAGCCATTCGGTTTATAGTCCGCGAAGCCATTTTGTGTATAGTCCGTGAAGCCATTTAATTTATAATCCGTGAAGCCATTTGGTTTATAATCCGTAAAGCCCTTTGGTTTATAATCCGTAAAGCCATTTGGTTTATAATCTGTGATGCTGTTTATCTTGAGAGTGCACCTGCCCCTTGAGAGTTGTCTGACTATGGAATCGCTGTAGTACACAAATTTGGATTTCGCTTGCAACAGGCTGGTTTTTCATATATATTTATGACAACAAACTAGCACGTTTTATAGCACTCGAACAATGTTTAAAAAAATTATACGATGTGGAACGGTGGTTTGGCTTTAAAACGCGTAGCATTTTATGATTGATCTTCAAATTAAGCGAGTTATTCGTGTACCACGCCTCACATGATCACGCGCCTATGATAAGATAATGCAGCACGTTTTATAGCACTCGAACATTGTTTAAAAAAATTATACGATGTGGAACGGTGGTTTGGCTTTAAAACGCGTAGCACTATATGATTGATCTTCAAATTAAGCGAGTTATTCGTGTACCACGCCTCACATGATCACGCGCCTATGATAAGATAATGCAGCACAAATCCTCTGTTTATTCTATTCCATCAGCGGATTAATATCGATAAAGAATATCGAAACCCAAGAAGTATGAATACGTACACAGCAGTCTGTTTTTAGTTTATATATGCAATACCAGCAAAATATTGAAGTTTGGCATAACGAACCGCTTGAACCTCACAATTTAATCACTCAAGTTTGGCACACGTTTGCTCGCATAAAAAGCATGTAGCTGTATTGTAAGCCCACCTTATTTGTGCCTAAAATTTATTTTGATATCTCTAATTCATTCTGAAAGTTTGAAATACACTGTAAACACCGCAACAGAATATGAACATCATAAAACTGAACATGTGCATATCGGGGTTATAGGAAGCATAGTAGGTGTGAGTGATTGTGTTCTATGTGTCGTGTGTCTATATGTGCGTGTGTGTATATATACATATGTATGTGTTAATGTACGTATGCATTTGCATTTTCTTCTCAAAGCATGGTGTCGATCCCTTCAGGCTGGCTTGTATCCTCAGGCTAAACACTTCTGTGCTTGTAAGCCCACCAGGATTTATATTTGCGATGCTGAACGCAGCCAGCCCAGATAGTCGGCGCAACGGGTGACATCAAACTTCCGAAACAAAGCTAGATCTAAAAATAGAATAGGCAATGAAAATAAAGACAGATGTATTAGTGCAAACAAGACGAGTGTGGTAGCCAACATGAACTCTCAGAAAATGGCGGTACACCAGAAAACATAAGAACGTAATTAGTTAAGACTAATAAACGCAGTCTACACACATGTCCCACATATATAGCTGTGGTATATTTTTACCGATCCAGTACAACAACTACTAAAAGGAATATAGAAAAATTCTGTAATACACTCGCACCTCACACTAACTGCACATGGGCGTTGCAGAGTGCTGGTTGGTGACGAACAAGTATCGGAGCCCCCCTTACTGTCGCCGCCATTTTGAGCCAACGGGACGTAAGAATACAGTCGCCGCCGGTTTCAGTTGACGGCCAAGTACAGTGACATATATTGCACAAACTGTCACTCACACACAGACACACCAAGGCAATCTATACGCATATAACCTCAACATTACACATAATTCGACAGACAGGTACCTATCTCGGTTCCAACTGCGACCGTCTGTGTACACGTACCCTCTATTCCAGTTCATCCTCAGCCTTTTGCTCGGGGGATGGGGTAGACTTGTTCTTCATATTCTCGGTGGCCTTCTTCTGCTCAGCCAGCTTCTTCTCTAGGTGTTCCATGGACAGCTTCGGTTGAGGTACCTCTGGCACACACTTGCCACACATGCAGTCGAAGGCAAAGGCTTTTTTCAGCTCAGCGCGACGTTCCTCAGTTTTCTGTATGAGTGTCGAGGTATTTAGGGTTTAAAATATAAAATTTTCTGTTTAGAGTGGTATTTGGGGTTAAGAGTTTGAAGTATTTTGTTTGAGTGGTAGGCTATTGAGTCATCAGATGACAGGAGGCGAAAAGTACCTACACATTAAAGCATGCACATATAGATACACACGCACATATACCAATACTCCAAACACCTCGAAAAAAAACACGCTAGGAAATGCAACTTGATAACTGTTTTGTCAAACATACGTCCCACATATATATATATATTTCCATAACTAGATGCGTGCTCTTGTATGATGTGATGTTGGATGCACTTCACGAAGGACGACGCATAGACTGGGGTTGCACTGGCACGTCCCATACATAAATAAATATATCCCGCGTATGCAAAGAGATATGAAGTGTTTGATTTGGCGAGTACAAATTTAACAAACATTTACGGGGACCTAATTGCACACACACTTGCATACTAATTCGACAACAATGTATACGAAAGTGGAACATAGGCGAGGACTGAGCAGAGCATATGACGCTATAGCTCATGTCGATGTATGTAGAGAATGGGGATTCGAAACATAAGTCTAAAGATACCACACTCCAAAAGCGTTATATGTATTGTTCACCACGGCGCAGGTGTATGTGCGAATGCGCAAGCAGAAGTCGAACTGTTCGGTATATGTGCAGACACGCTCCATCATGGAACTATGATCTGCTTTATATCCAGGGGGGTTTAGGACGTTTGAGGGTTTGTTCTTAGGTACAGTCTATATACTTGTGGAAGGCAACCATGTACCACCAAATACTTACTCTAGCACGCATATACCACCCAGTACTTAGTCCGAGACATATACATTCTCCACCATCCATACCTTCATGCTGAATCCGTTGTATGCGAAGCAGACCTCGTCACCGGCCTTGATCGCCTTGCGAGCCGTGTACTGGATCTGATTCGTCTTTTTGACAAAGCTAATCTTCACGTTGGGGTCGCACGAGTGGTTCATAAAGCTTCCTGCGAGGTACACGGCGTGTCCAGACTTCACCATCAGTCCCTTGGGGTTGGGGTGGGTGGTGAACGGGATCGCGTTACGCTTGATCTTACTCAGCATCGCCGTGTAACTATCCAGGGTCAGGATCTGCTCGGCCTGCTCCACCTTGGCCGTTAGCACTGGCAGCAGCAGCGCAAACTCCTTTTTGACCATCTCATTGGGTGCGGGGAGGGGCTCGTCGAACGACAGGTGAGCGATGTCCGCGGTGCAGTCGCGTACGGGCTTGGGGTTGAACACCTGGGCGAGGGCTTTACCTACCATCAGCACCTCTTTGCGGCCGGTGGACTTGGTGTGTGCTACGAGCATGGCCATCGGGTCGGTGGGATCGGAGAACTTGGCTATAAATAGAATGGGATAAAATAAGTCGTACGGCGGATGAGCGATCCAGGACAGGTGTGTATTTTGGCTGGGAATTAGTGTTCGGTACGTTTAGTATCCATACATATAGATGTATGACATGCATATATGTTCAATCACGTGCTGATTGTAGAGCACCACAGCACAAAGAAATAACACGCGCGCTGTTGAAAGTACTTCACTAAGGAAGACGCAGAGACTGGTGATGCACGTTTTAACACGTCCATAAAGCCACACTCGCACTAAGACAAAGATAAGTTAAATGATTGATCTGGCACACGCACGCATACCAAGCAAAGTACTCAAGCTCATTGTGTGCACACAAAAGACCAAACCGAGTACAGGCGTCTCAGCTCATGTCTCACAATATGGGGTATACGGCGAACAACTCACTATCACGTGAATCATCTGAGAACACATTATGTGCAATTAAAACGCCAATGGGACATGTATAGGGGGGGCAACAATGTATAGGGGGGGCAACACGGCCAGGAATTGGTCAAGACACACTTTATAGCTAGCACTCATATATAGAATCGACAAGACCCCCCGATGACTGATCACAACCAACGACTAACGCCACACTTCCAGCCACCTTATCAGAAAACTGTGTTATCACGGTGTGTCACGCCACACTTTCAGCCACCTTATCAGAAAACCGTGTTATCACGGTGTGTCAACGTTTACTGCAGTTAAATTTTGCAATATAGCACAAACATACCTCCAGAACAAAGGATGGCGTGGTGGGATCCGAATGCGACATCGCGGCAATCGGTGCTGCAGTAGAACTCCTGGCCACAGTTTTGCGCACAGGGAACCACATCAGTGATAACAATGGCACATCTACAAGTAGAGTGCGAGAAGGACTGAAAGTTAGTGACTATGATAGGTTGTATGTGGAGAGTGAACACACAGCGAGTAAAGTTCGACGACATACAGTCCGCAATAACCGGCAGGATCCATATCCGGTAAGAGCGCGCTTAGGAAAGGCTTCTCGGTGTGGAATACATCACCCTCAGCAAAGTCCTTTACAGCGAACATGCAATTCTGTTTGTACTTGATATCCGTAGGCTCTACGCGCAGACCAGTATCCTCTCCAGGGAAGTTGTCGAAGTACTTGTCTCTGAGCACCTCTGGGTCAATCTTCTTAACCATAAGCTGATATATAAAAAACAAAACGGTGCATGATTAGTATGTGTTTGGTGCATGGCTGACAACCGAGGTTCATGGTAAACTACTGTTCACCTCACTAACTATCAGTAATTACGTATGCACATCGATTTCTTCAGATACCCAAGAGATTCATGTCTATGTATACAGAATGCAACACCATTGTGAAGTATTTTGGTCGAGACCATGTGGCAGTGACTGATTTCTTATGATCCTAAAGCACAACCACAGTTCCCAATTTAAGTCGAATGCTCGGTGCATTTTTTAGGCCCATAGCCCAACAGATAACGCAACATGATTTCTGAAATGTGAGACCGTCACTCCCGTGATTTCTATACACTAACACACACACATATATATTTATTTCGTATCACTAAACGGAAAAATAATCAGATTGCAATCTCGTATTCTGAGAACGATCGAGCCAGCCTCTTCGTCGAGCATATCTGATATGCTTGGATGATAATCCTTTTTAACAGATGCATAGTATGCATGAACTGAAACTTTACATACAATGCCACATTTCATATATAGGGTTTCAGGGTTTAAAACAATCTACACATATTTGTAGCCGTAAATATATCACGCTGGCACACAAGCACGTGTATTTATATGCTAATATAACAAGGAAAGGCAAAGCACACATGTTTACACACCTTGAGGCATCGCCTTCACCGACATACACGAGCCTAAGCCATGAGCTAGACCTATTTCACACCACACTACAACGAAAGACAATAATAATCGACCTGACAACCATTGCAAAGACATAGACCAATCGACTACTACAAACACTTCAACAAATGACCAGGTATTTATACTGCTGCCTATACAAATATTGTTATAAACATAATATAACCTTTATATAGGCGTAGCAACGCCAACCCCCAAGCACTCAACACATCGCACATACCGAGAACAACTCCTCGGGGATCGACTGCTTCAAATACACCAGGATATCAATCGGTGTCTCCGAAACCGTCACGGCGTTCGCAAAGTGTGTCGCGCATCCATCCAGATCTCCCTTGTTAAGCGCTTCTTGCCCAGCCTGCATCTGTGCCACAAAGAATGCGCCTACAGCATCCTTATCAGAGCTGGCAGCCGCTTCTGCGGCCTCGGCCTTTGCTGCTTCGGCCTCGGCCTTTGCTTTCTCTTTGAGTGCGGCGAGTGCGGCAATCTTAGCTTCGCGCGCCGCGGCTTTGCCTGTGGTGGGGGAACATTCAATAATGAGACAGATGATAAGAATTCATATGTATGTATGTAATAAATATACGACGATACGTACATTCAAGGTTAGAAATACTCGCAAAGCAGCCTTTCTTCGTATGGATTCACGTGATAAGAGATACCGATGTATGCCAATTGTCGGGGGCGGGGGGTGCGGTTAGAAACTATATACGAACGTTTGAACTACTACTCGAGGAATTTTATGGTCTGCCTGCGCCCAGGACTGTGGGGCACTCAGACGAACATAATACATATATGTGTACATAGAGATCAAGGAGACCGTCTGTTATACGCAAAAAATGCACTTCTAAAAGAATACTAGGGCGCGTTTACGCACAAGTAGTTCCAGCAACATTTCTGACCGAATTGACTCCATTTGAGGATTAATTCCCCTGTGCAATGCTGGTATATGGTGTTCACTGAGACCGAAATATATCACAAAAATGTCCCGTATGACTATTTGGGACATCAAATAAAGAAATACATCCGTACATTCAAAAATACACCGTAGATGACTCAAACCATGTGAAAATATGTACTTACTCGTGCGGTGAATTATAGAACCACCACTGCAAATATCAAAAATGTCAACTTACAGACAACAACGTATATCAAGGTCAACCTCCCTATGGCCGACACCATATTCCAGCCATGGCGTCGAATGTTCTTATAGATACAGTGCGCCACAGATAAACTATCAACATGTGATAATTTTATGGTTACTTCACGACAAAGACGCCATGGTAAGCAATCAGACACGGGCAGTACATACGACTGTTAATTCAGAGTCTAGACTTATCTATGTATAATAATGCAGAACCCCATCTTTTTACCAATTTACTACGCAAACACAAGTGTACACAACATACACATAGCGTATACAACATATATATATATATATATATATATATATAACATTAGTATGATCGGGGGAGCGTATTGTAGGACGATTCACGAGTAGTGATTGCGAGCGAAGAGCGTCTCCTGATCTAGGGCTAACTGATACTAGGGAATGGCTTGGCTATGCATAATAGGAAGCAGCTGGCGAGCTTTCTGCCACTCGTGACGAGAGTTTGCATCGGCGTCGTCGCTCGTCGTACGCTATATATATATATATATATATATATATATATGTATGTATGTATGTATATATATATATTATAAATAAAATAACCGTTCCCGATCGTGATAGCCAAATGTGCTATCGCGTCAGTCTACATCATCACAGTTATCCAGAACTAATATCAAATCTAGACTGCATACACATAGTGCAGAAGCGCATAGTCAAAGAAATCCTATCGAAAATCCGAAGCGACATACGTGCTTTGACCTTCTTCCTGTATTCGGGGTCTGATGTGCGCACGTGATCCAGGTAAGCGATGGTACCCACAACGGCCACAGCGGTGGCGGCTGCTACAGCAACTCCTTTATATGCCATGATGTACTGTGTGCTATGTACTGTGCAAGGTTATGTACGGACAAAAATATATCTTGTACAAATATAGCGTTGTGTGACACTGACTAAATAGGACTATCTCTATCGCTAGGCAGGAGATCATCCTCTCTGTACGGATTTGACTAAAATACGTCAGGAATTCATACGTTTCGCAGGAAGAAACGCATGCGATTTTTAAGGATCACGTGGTTTACGTTTATCCGACTAAGGAAATGGAGCGTTAGACAAAGCATCGATCAATATATATACGTAAATCCCTTTACGGTACGTAAACGGTTTGACACTTGTCCTGACCAGCTGATCCTGGGTCCGCCGAGTTCATATAAAATACCCAGTCCCGACTTTCCGGTTAAATTGCGGTTAAAACGTTGACGTCGATTTTTATTTTTATTTTTGTGATATTTTTACTTCTTGTTTATTTTTCCAAGAAGTCATTGGTCAGTCGCTCTCAGTCTCTCAGAGTCTCAGACTGTCAGCCACTGCAGTGTCAGAATGTCAGAGCGTCAGTCTCAGACCGGCGACTCTTTATTTACAAAAATAGGGTCTGCTGGTCAGCTGGTGCCACGTCCGTGTGTACAGCATAATTTCATTATTATTATAAAACAATAATAAACCGGAAAGTCGGAAAGTCGGAAACAACCCCCCTAGTAAGTCTGGAATGCGGGATCTTTTCTCTTGTTATGCTGCTTTTGCTGCTAATAACCAAATACTATACAATACGAGAGACTTGCACGCGACTTTCTAGTTTCTTAAGTACGATGTAGGCTCGAAATTCATTCCAAAATACGTCTCTACCCGTGTACAAAAGTGTTTGATCGAAACAAATGCGTCTTCGATATATAGTTCCATTTAGCTTCAACAATTTTTGAATATGACGTGAGCTGAACTCTGTCTCCAACGTGCTGTCAAGTGACTAATTGTTCTAGCATGCAGTGATTGTCTTCGTCACGTTTCAGATTCTTCTCTATTACTGGTAGTAATTCAAAAAGAGGTCAAATCACTATTACACGCGTATGATATACGTATTATATATATATATATGCACATACACACACACACGCATATATATATATATATATATATATATATGCGTGTGTGTGTATATACTATATTTATATACTATAATAGTATTATAATATTTATATATATAATACTAGTATATTTGGATATATATCTATATATCTATATATATATATTTATATAGTTGTAGATATTTTAATATATATAAAGCGGTTGTTATGTGGTGGTGATTGCGGCTTAAAAACGCAACGTATATTTTGCTGATTAATAGTGGTCAGGACGCCTTGTCCCATTCAGAAAAGAATCGGCTGAATATTGAGCATTGTACTGTATTTAGACGCACTAGTACGTCTAGGTTTCATGGATACATCATCCTGGTCTGATAATATTCTACTATCGCAATAATATAACTCATTGTCAATTCCAAGCATGCATGAGACTGAAGTGAGACTGAAGCCATTTCACCATGCTTTTAATTTTATTATGCAGGCTTAGCGTATTTATTTCGCTCTCTTGGGTTGAATACATTTACGTATCTCTTGCATTACTTTAGTCTCTACTTGCTATAAAGGCGACGAGATATGGGAACGACAGTTAGAAATCGAGGATGAGGTTCTTCAGCGAAGTAACAATTTTTTTAACACTGAAAGTTCATGGTTCATCAGTCACTCATTAGTCACTCATCAGCGCTATGTATATTTGTTTATTTTAGAAGCCTAAATCCTACTACATTAATACTTAGCCTGCTGCATGACATATATATATATGTATATATATTTATATATATATAGCCTCTTGAAAATAGCACACCAGGAGTGTTCTATTTTCAGGAGGCTAGGGTAAAACAATGCAATCAATATACACATAGCCTCCTAAAATAATTACAATCTTACTAGGCTATGATATACAATATACATTTGTACTCGATTAGAGTCCGACATGTATATGTGTCTTATACTGTCTTACTCTACTCGTGAAATACATATCATATCAGAGACCTGACCTCATTACGTTTTACGTTGTATATTTTACGTTCGCGCTTAACGTTTACATTGGTTTGGTTCTGCGTGTGGGTGCTAGGAATATGGGACGGTATTTGGGTTCTGAGGTGCATTATATCTCACCCGTTCCAGAATCCTACTATCCTCAATAATAGGACAGAACCTTCTACAAATATTTGTCGTAGCGTTTTCAATTGCCAAAAAAAAGTACGTTTACGTTCAACGACCTTTTTAAAAAAGCTAAAAGTTTTAGAGCGCGAGTGCTAGACACATTTAAGACTTGCACCAAATTCATACAATTAATACATGCTGTAAATACTAAGCACTTGTTGCGCCAACCGATTCATGTATCTCATATGTAGTCTCCAACCTTGACTTCATTTAGTATATATTGCCTACTACACATGAGACTTGGTCTCTCGATAACATAGTGCACCGCGGGTTCACAACGAACAGTTCATGTTTATATCTGTTTCTGGTGTATTTATGAATGTCCAACGTGTAAAATCTTCTTTGTACTGCCTCGCGGTGGCGCATTCTGCTATAGTAAATCTCAAGTTACTAGAGCAGCAATATATATATATCGTAATTATATCACAGTAAGGTTGCAAGTTTGTGGGTGCGATCAAACACCTCGTGCTACTTCCAATTATAGTTAGAAGCAAAGTATATTTATACTCTTCTACATGCATATTTCGACTCAATTGGACAGAATCAGAATATACTTTGTATTTTTTCAAAATACATACATCGAGTACAGCAACATGGATTCTGCTAACATGTCTTCGGCGACCAAGGATTCCGATAAAAAGGACCTTAGACATACTCTGTCTGTGGGCAACAACAACAACAACAACAACAAAGGCCGTCAAGACAGACAAGACAGACAAGACAGCAGACTCACTGAAACCATAGCGTCACCAGGAAGTCCTGAAGCCCGGGTGGCATGTAGGGATGCAAGCCGACGTGCGCGACCGAGCAGAGATAGGAGAGATACTAAAGGGGAGACTCAAGCTGGCCACGTGCTGCACATAGAGGGCGATCTTCCCGAGAATGCGGGCCATGCTAAGGTTTCTATTTATGTACCGACCAACAAACTCAGCATACAGAAGCGCATTTGCGCACCATCAGGCTCGTCAAGTGTTAATACAGCCCAACTCGTCAGATGGTGTAGAGATGCGAGTTACGATCGCACGTGACCACGCTCTACTACATAGCCTATTGAGTGGGCAAGTACTCACACAATACTGCGTTTGTTTTTCTCTCTCCCGTGTGTGTGTGTGTGTGTGTGTGCATGCTGCATGCATCTGCTACCAACGGCACAGACACATCTCTTGGCACTCGAGGCTGAGATGCTCGAGCTGAAACGGCGCAACGAACAGTTAGAAGCTACACAAGCGGTCGCCGACAGAGATGCGCGCACGGCCAAGGTTCGTTGCTGTGTGTATTGTTTCAGATCTACTTGTTCAAACAGTTAGACAATGCTGGCTGATATGTACACAGATATACACACGTATGCCTTCCACGATACACGTCTTTGCTTTCATTTTCAGAGAATGAGTCTGTGGACGGGTCCATGAAGCCATCCAGGGTTACAGTTCACGCTGCGCTGTGGTAAAGCAGTCTTGGCGTTGTGCGTATTTTGTTTGTAGTATACCGATCTATGTAGCCTGGCAGCTGTACTAATCCATCTGTGCACCATCGTATGATCGGCTCTCGCATGCGATATCAGATTGGACAAGCCATGTCGCTAGACCACTGTTGTGACATGGCAAGAACAGGGTTGTGCCTGGAGTGGGTATACTATTCATATACCAAAACACTTGATACCTTACCATACCAATAATCAGTCTCTCATGCGGTAGGTCGGCCTGGTTAGATGATACCCTCACACTACAGCAGATCATACCATGGGGACATATGTAGGGAACTTGACTAGCTAGGGGAAAGTGACCTGGTTACCAGGTAGCCGCCAGTTGGAGTTCGATATTCCAATGATCTGAATACGTATCTGTTCTTGGCCGGTCTACTCGTTCGATGTCACCATTGAAGATGTTGAGAAACGCGACTGTGAATGTCTGCTATATCAAGAAAGCAGATATGCATTCGGACTAAGCCGTACACTTGATCACGGTTTCACTAATTATTTGACCCATTCAACACAATTATTGGCCCATTCAAGAGCTATACTATGAATAACGTTTATGAGCTATACTACAGGTCCTTACACATGAACTGATAACACGTTAAAATCGATATAGTACCCGTGCAGCAATCTTCAAGGGCTATACTATGAATAACGCTCATGAGCTATACTACAGGTCCATACGTATGGACTGATAGCACGTTAATATCGATATAATACCCGTGCAGCAATCTATAGAGCGGCTTCGCGAGCGCTTGACCACCACCTCTAAGAAGTACGCAGACCTCAAATTGGACTATAAAGACCTGCGACACGACTACAGGCGACTCAAAGACTCGCACGCACAGCTCAAAGAAGACCGCCAACAACTCACAGACACACACACGGCCGGTGAAGCCGTAGGCGATCTGGGACCTTGTTTATACTGCCTCCGGCCATTGCCCCAGGGGTTTGTATCGCATGTGGAGTTGGATTTAGAGTACCAGTTGAAGGCCGCTCTGCCTGTGCCGCAACCGCGGGCGAACGGGCACGTGGCTCATTCCGAGCAACAAAGTATGTGTATGCGAGTATGCGTATGAGACTAACAAAGTATGTGTATGAGAATAACAAAGCATGTGTATGCGAGTATGTGTATGAGACTCTCGCGTCTGCTGGGGTAGCAAGGAGGCCGGTGTAACGAAAGGAACAAATCAGCATCATGTCACACCTTTGAAGTAAATATGCTGCGGACGAATTGAGTATGCACACTCTTCTGCATTCTGGCCCATTCTGTGTGTACACTCATATACAACTCTGTATTCAGCACTCGCTTTGGCTTTGTCGCATAACTTCTCCAGATGGGTATGCCGCTGACGTGCCTGACCGCCTAGACCCAACCGATGCCCCACTTACGGCCCAAGACATGCAGGTGCGCAATCCTTGGCACAAAGTAATGATTACCTAGCGGAAGTTGCAACGGCGTGTGACTACGTGCATGGACCACCCATTAGCGTGCATTGATAGTTCTGGTCGTGTGGGTACTTGAGTGGTATCAGCATGCTCACTTGGGCTGTTGATGTCGATGTTGCTATTGGTTGTCAGAGCATTGTTGATGCATTTAGTCTCGTCGCGGCGTATATAGTTAAAAACCCGAGAGACGTATGACTTTGGATCTACTACCACGCCTCAACCTCTGCCGTTCCTCCACACAAAATCCACAGCACATTGCACTGCAGAATACCGGAATGATGTGGGACGAGAATAGCGGGATGTACTACAACTACGCCACCGGCTACTACTACCACACACAGTCGGGCCTTTACTTTGACCCCACGGCCCAGGCTTACCATCACCTCAACCCGGTGAGTCATACATGTTTATGTAAATCGTTAAACGCGTGGTTAAGGGAAGGACGTTGTGGCTCAATGCTCGGTCAGCATCCTACCTCATTTTCGTTTGTTACAGTTTATCTGCGTTTAAAGACTCGCACTCGTGACTGAGTTATTGTACTCAAATTGCCTAATCCTATGTATTCGGCTACTTCAGACCACAAATGAATACGAGTTCCACTCCTCGGCTGCGGATTGGGTGGATAATAACTATGGCAACGGAGCCACCGCCACAACCGCAGCCACCCAGCATGCGGCAGAGGAAGAGATACTGTGCATCCGATTGATCGTGCAAGAGTCGCCGAATGCACCCGCAGGCACAGTCTACGTAGTGGGGTTGGATGGAGGCACTATCGGACGGTGAGTGTTGCATGCAGACATGTGTATGTGTGTTTACAGAGAGGGATGTACACGTATCATCTATGTGCAAATATCACCAGTTGTGCCTAAAGGTATTATCCCTGCATTAGGGCTGGCTGCTGACACAATTGAACGGAGAGTGCTGAATATAGTTATAGGTGTATCTACTTGCATACAAGCAGACGTATACACACACGAAATCGTGTGTACCTGAGGGATGCTTATAAATCAAATCGCTGTGTGTGAATCTTATACCCTTTCTTGTACTTCTGTATATTCTGTGACAATCACACAGAGAAAGCGGACATGGCCATTTGATCCAATTCAAAGAGGCCAGTGTATCGCGTGACCACGTGGAGATACGAACGTGGCCCAGCGAAGACGAGAGAGTCACACAGCTCACCCAGCAATGGCGTCCGGGTGTGTGTGTGTCAATACACGTTTATGTGCTGTGCGGCATGTATCAGTGTTGTTAGTAGGTGGATCATCATCAGTGAGATCAACGGTCCTTCATATTAGAATGTTCCTGTGTTCTAGATTGCTATACAATACACCGTGGCTCACGGTGCTTTGCTTTGTACAGCTGAGGATGCTGAGGACTGCATTGCCACACCCTTTTGGCTGCGAGACTTGGGGAGTAGTGAGGGCACCTATATAAACGACCGAAAGATTCCTGCGGCAGAGTAAGCGGGTTGCAAGTGGCTGTGTGCGTGAGTGACGGTGTGGTAGCGTAGTGTTATATGCCCGAGAATGTTGGTGTTGTGTGTACGATTCGGATAGATGTATATGCGCCGAAGGTCTGTTTTCGTGTGCACGCGCGTGCAAGTGGGGCTTATATATGTGTATATAGCCATTTGGCTTACGTATGTGTATATAGCCATTGTTAATTGCATATATAAAGTTTGCCTTTGTACACTCTTAAATACACATCGGTGCAAGTGGTACCATAAATGTACACTTTAATCCTACGAGAATACCGTCGTTCTTGTTTCTTCAACTACTTACTATATATAACTCAGGGCACATATACTCATACAATACGGCAACAGATCACATACGCCTTGGCATTGCGCCTAAATTATCATTGAACACCTGCATAAAATCTCATGTGTGTAGTGCTCTGTAGCAAGCAATGGTTGGTAGCGTGACTAGTCTCATAACATACCAATATTCGCAATACTGTACACAGTAAAAGTAATGAGGATTCCGGACTACATCGGCAAGGCTTGTTCCATAAAGACACGCTGTGGATAGGAGAAACAACGCTGTTAGTTCATGCGCATCCCGGTTCGCAGTCCTGCGCTGTGTGTGCCCAGTCCTTTGAGACCCCAACTCACACCCCGGCCAATTCAGCGGCGGGTGCCAGTGGGTGGACGTCCATTGCAGGTGTGTATATGTGGCCTGATACGATACTCATACCACATTGATAGTATCCCAATACTACCAGTGATAAGCCTCTGTTTCCGGTATTGCGTGAGGGTCTATACCAAACGGATATTGTAATTGTGCCAGGTGATCACAATTAGTTGTATTCATACTGTTTTTTGGGTATCAACCCTGATTCGCCTACGGATTGCCTGGGATCATATCCGATTCCTCCGGCAATATCATTTAGTACCGATTGAATGTTCACTCCGTGTGCGCATGGGCCACAGACTGTCACAGCTAGCCGAGTCTTGATCCTCTCCGCGGTGTTGTCACCTCAAAGTCATGGCATATACGGTGACGCTGAGTCGCCCTCGTATTGCCCTGCTGCTCTGTCACCCACCCTGTACTGTTAGAGACTGTTGGTGTTTTAATCCCAATCCTCAAACCGAAGTACATGCCATTGGTTACCAATATAGCCGCTCATTTGATTGGCCCAGCTGGACTACTGTATTGCTATAGCACGACTCCTTTTTTGGCCGCTGCTTGAAACTTGGTCTAATGCTTTGATTGTTTTTCTCTTGCATACGCATTCTCACTCTACCTGTGTCGCTGTCATGTCATGTATTGAGCCTTTCTCGCCACTGCCAAATCTATACTCAGCCGCTCCGGTGCAGATCACTAAACCTGGCCACTCAGTGCAACCACAGACAACCGTCGATCTCCCCGGCCTAAAAACAGGTCGAGTAGACCACCACATGGAAATGCATAAACGGAAGTTCGGTCTCGACAGGGAGAGTCGGGCCGTGAACCCGCAGGTGATGCCGGATATGACTTACGGTAGGTGTGTAGAGGTGTGTGTAGGTGTGTGTGCGTTTACATGTATGTGTGGATAGGTCAGCCTGTATGTGGCAGTGCATATGTGTAAATTTGTACTGGGTAAGTGTATCTGTGTGTGTACGTGGCACTGTATAAGTGTATGTACATGGCAGTGTACATCTGTATATATACAACAATGTATATGTATACATACGCTCGCCCGCACAAGGCAGCGATTGTGTGGATGGCTTGTTTCCGAAGGGCATGAACTACTTCCGACTCTGTGCAATTATCACAGCGCATGCGTGATCAGGCGTTGTGTCGGGCTAGTATTGGAATACGTGCATCTTACCTGCGTATAATGGTACGTGCGAGGGTGCAGGAGGGTTGCGAGCGTTCTTCAGTTACTTTCTTTCTAGTTTGAACCCCACTGTTTCGATCTGCTATGTCCCTGTCACGTCTACTTCGAGTCTCATTTGTAGAGTTGTTCATCTATACGCTTGCTGCGGGATTGTTAACTTTTTATCGGGACATACGAATACTTGTCCCTCGTTTGGACGTGCCAGAGGCAGGTGGTCTGATTGAGTACGCATGTTTGGGAGATTGTATGCGCATACGTGTTGCCGCATGTTTGGACGTTCACTGTAAGTATGCATTTGTGCTGTACGGGCATGTCGTCAATCGTACATTATTTTGACTTCTGTTTGAGCGCTATCTCTGTTTGTTCAAATATTCTAATAAGGCCTGCATTCGAATAGCTACATGGCCCTGCATATGAAAAGACTCGGGGCCATTGCTCTGTCAGTGCAGTGAGGAGTGGCTGGCACGCTGTGTTTATAATCACCATTTTTATTCGTGAAAAGTTGTGCAGGAGATGGCAATACATCTGTATATATGGCGTACCTGAACATACATGAATAGAATCGCACATAAATATTGGATGCAACATTCGTAACCGCAGTTGATAGAGCCAAGAAACGGCGGGTCGACAAACCCGGTGGGCACTGGACTGATACCTGGGACCGTAACGCTCCTGTCCAATCCGCATCTGAGGCCAAGCCAATTGAAGCTACCAATAAAGGGTTTAAACTACTCCACAAAATGGGTTGGAGCGGAGGCGGGCTGGGAAAAGTTGGGAACGAGGTAGGTGCATCCCTATGAATGTTATGACTGTATATATTGGAATGTCCCAGGCGGTCGGGAGGGTACAGTTGTCGCAGTGAAAATTGATGGTTGTGACGACTGGGGTTTCTTC